TATTCAGTCATCAGGCGTTGCCCGTTCCGGTACGGGGCGCAGCTACGATCGGGTCCTAGCAGGTGCGTCGCCCGCAGCTCACGGCGCTCCCTGTTCAGGTCTGTGGGCCCAACCTTGATGTTCGCTGGCGCACCGTGCTCGGGAGGGGTGTTCAGGCAGACCGTCAGCCGATTGACCGCCTGCCTTAGTCCCCTGGCATCATCCACCTCCACGCCCTGCCTGCGCAAGTGGTCGGCGATCTTGGAGGCTACTACCATGTGCTCTCCGCCGGGCTCCAGTAGTTGGCGGAGCTCCGTCACTCCTACCTCCAACAGAGGTAGGAAGTTGGTGATGGGGACTGGCGTGCTGACTCCTAATTCTATGGGATCATGTCGCAGCTGTTGGAGTAGATCCGTCAGCTGGCAGCCCCCCAGCTCGATCCATTCCCCTTGGCCGCTGGCTGTGTACCTCATTAGCGTGCCGCCGCATGCTGCTAGTAGGGTGACAGTCCTCATCAGTCTACTGTGCCGCAGTTTGTTAGCTAACTCGTTGTTGGGGGCGCCCCCTGCCCGCTTCATCTGTTCTCGCAGCAAGTTGAGGGTGACCCTGCCCAATCTTCCCGGGTCGTTCAGAGCATCAGTGAGCTTGGCGGTAACTTCGGTCACATACATAGTTTGAAGGGAGGGGGCGCCCACGCCACCGCGTTCCTTATCCTCTTGCAACATTGCTGTGGGGGTAGAGGTTGGCAGCCGTAGCGCAAACTTAGCCGCGCCCGCCACCAGGCTGTCCAACCGCGCAATGTCTTTACTGGTGTAGGCACCAGTTGAAAATGAATATCTGATGAAGGGCTTCAGCAATGTATCGATCAGTCTAAGTTTTTGCTCCTCGGATGCCATCGAGCGCAGGATGCCGTCCGCCTTGTCCAGTACCGCCTCGTTGAGTTCCCACCTCTGGCGATGCCAGTTGCTTGTGTGGGCTTACAGTCTGGTTTCAGCAAGAACAAGCTTGCAGCACAGACTTTGTTGTTCGAGCAAGGAGGGATGAAGCAGTAGAACAACAGGCAGGACAGGCCAACTGACAGGTCACCGAGCGTTTAGTGTGTGAGCGGGCAGGCAGTACTGCATGTCGTGGAGCAGGTGTGGTGCGGTAAGAGCAAAGGGGGTGGACATGAGAGTGGGGGTTCAGGGCGGGACTGCAGGCAGCGCAACGGTGGCGGTCAGCCAGCGCTGGTGACAGGCGGCAGCAAAGGCGGCGAGGCGGCACGGTTTCTGGCGGAGGAAGCGGTGGGGAGGATGGGGCTCAGCAAACAGGTCAGGAAAGTTGAGGCGCAGCGGGGCGTAAAGGGGGCAGGTGAGCAGCATGTGGGGGGCATCTTCAATGCCGTCGTGGCAGTGGGGGCAGACTCGCTGCTCTCGGGGGCGCCGCGTCCAGCGGCCGGTCTCTTCCGCGCCCCAATGCGACCCGGTGCGCAGCTGCGCCAGCGCCTCGCGGTCCTGCCGACGCCGTACTGNATCCAGGTAGTCTCGCGCTGCCCA